AACCAGGGGAAGTGCTTCTCCTTCCCCAACAAGAGTCACCAGGGGAGGAGTCTTGGAGTTAGACTAGCAAAGGGGATCCTATGACTAAAAGTCCTGGATCCAGGAAGCCTCTTTATTCCTCAGGGCAGGAGACTTTGTTTCCCAACCAAAGTCACCAAATAGAATGGAATTTAAAATGTTACGTTCACATAATTCAACAATAAACATTAAAATGCAGGTAAATGCAATCATGTAAATGAATTGCACCAATATTAAATGGAAGTGGAAAGGGACAGTAAGAAAAATACATGCTGTTTGATTTTATTTTTTGGAGATTCAAAAGCAAGCAAAGAGACTTTACAATGTTAAAAGTCAGGACAGTGGTTAAGTGATGAGGGAGGAGTTGAGATGAGAGGATCTATAGGTCCAGGGCTGCAGGGGACTGAAAACTCAATTTTATGATCTGATTTGTAATATCATGGTTCCAGTCTCTTTGTAATCAATCTGCTCAATCATGATATGTTTAGTTTCCTTGATATGAGGTAAAATTAAATAGAAAAGTTTATTTTAGAAAACAAGCATTTATTGAAACACAGTTTTCTATGAAAAGAAAGAACGAGAAATTATCGAATGTGTGTTTCTGGTATCAAAATAAAATACTTGAAAGTCAAACAATGGAGTGTTATTAAACAGACTTTAAAATAAATAGCTACAAATATATACAAAAGTATGGATAAAAACTACAAGTATAATATTGAGTGAAACAAACCTTTAATAAAGTATATAAAAAGTTTAATATCTTACCATTTCTTCTTCATTATCTATATAAAGCAGAGTAGAGTTCTTAGAAGCACAGGCCGTCAGACTCTCAGTCCATGTTTTACTTTCAGTACTAAAGTAATAGCAATTGTTGGAATATGTAAACCATTCCTTTGGACAATGACCACAATGATATGCTGAAGAAAAATTATGAGTTATTATCCATAAACAATGTGAATTTTCAAAAATGAAAATAAAATTACAGATTTGCATAGGTATAAATATATTTGTAAGTAGTATATCTATGTACATTTACTCCATGGTACGTATAAAACAAAACACACTCATACACACGCTCACAGAGAAGGGTCACCCTCTTATTCATAATTTGTGTGTCCTTATAAAGCATACACCCAAATAAAAATATCACTCTGCACATATCCTGAATGTCAATGAACAAAAACACTCTTTAAAAATAAAAAAAAAAACTCAACGACCAATGTCACCCTAAAAAATAAGTTAATTAATTAACAATTAAAAATTGAAATAAAAATACGACTTATCTCTTATCACATTAGTGCAATAGGAAATTTGAGCCAATTGGCAACAATGGGTATGGTGTTTTAAAATGAGTATTTCTTTATATTGTTGTATGAGAAGAAACACCCTTCTTCAGTCATTATTAATGAATATCTATTGATCATTTTATAATTTATGTTCCCTGTAAAAAATTTGTATCATTTTACCTAGACTTAGATAGAGACAAAATATAAACTGGGTATTATCATAACTTTGAAAATCATATGTACCTTTCTGGATCCTTGTTATTGGAAGTGAATTGTTCTTCTCCAGTATTACAGTAGCTATAAAAATTAAAGTGATTCTTTAAAAAAATTATTTATTTATATCAATCAGAATAATTTTCGTTTTTAGCTTAACGGTTTTTCTATTGTTTAGAATTATAATTATCTGAAATAAACTAGATTTTACCAAGAAAAATTAATAAAGAAGTAAAAGGGGACAAATACTATAAAGCTGAAAGAACTAAACTTCACCATCTCTTACAATATTTGATTTATTCAATCTCAAAATGAATTCTCAATATGGTCTTCGAGTCTCCTAAAACATGACTTTGAGTTATGCAATCAGAATAAATACATGTATATATGTCCATATATTTATAAAATAGTTCTAAAATCATTCTATATTTATACTTTGGACAAATTTAGAAAAGTATTTCACGTTCAGTCTAAATACAAACTTTAAAAGAGAGTTCTATGCCATAATATTCTAAAGTATTAAAGGCATTGATGATTATTAATGAAAAGCTTTCAAATAATCTTCCAAAATTAACTTACAGGGAATAACAGCTATTATTACCACAGTGGACAACAAGACAAGGCAGATGACCCCCAGAATCCCAGCAATGAGCTTCTCTGGAGGTGACAGTAAAGCTGCAGGGAGAGAAATGGGAACACTGAGAAAGGACAGATGGAGACAAATGCTAAGAGAGTTGACACACGGAGAATCCACATGCACAGGGAATCGTATACATAAGCTTGGAACCCAAAACTGTATCTACCATTGTAATCATCCTCTCAGAATATACTACTGCATTTTCAGGAAATATAATGCTCTGTGAGTTGTTGGTCAAAGACTACACCTTACAACGATGCCTGAATAAAATTAGTCCTGAGATTTCGTGTTACAATACTGTATTCTAACTTCAGGTTCTGATCCTCACAAATGAAAAAATATGAGTTTATCTCCTATTCTTTCTTCACATCTCTGCAACCCAGCTATACATCCTAGAACAGTCTATACTGTGTGTCTGTTAAATGTTTTACCTTTGCAGTGGTATTTCTCGTCATTCCCTTGTGGATCCTGAGAAACATCTTGAAGATTTAATTCTGCGTAGGTTATCTCCTGCTCACTTATTGAGATGGAGTTTTTTGTGCCCTTAGGTTTTAGTTCCTGTCTCTTTGAAAACCTGGCCACATTCAGGTCTGCATAGGTTACTCCTTGGTTATTCATCTTTGCAGTTCAGTGGTACCAGGTCTGTGCTGTGAGGTAAGTGTACTTAAGAATAAATGGTATATGCACTAATGAGATGCCTAGCAGAGTAAAACTGGGTGGAGTAAAGGGTTAGTACTGGGCTCATTTCCCAGCTGAAAGAACTAAAGGTCATGTTCTAAATGCCTTAGAGCTTCAAACAAGAGTCTCGTGATTAAATACATGTTTAAAGATATTTTACATTTGATAACATATTATTAGTTGGAACAATAAACCACAATAAATTAGTGAAGAATAAAGAAGTTCATAAATAATAATATCCTCAATATAACTCAGACTCTATAGAAATGTTTTAACACCACTAGCATGTCTGTATTAAAAATTCAAATTCTGTATTCAAAAAAAGGGATCATAATATTTATGATAGTTCTGAAATCCAATAATGGTAAAAGAGTGGGTGGTCAAAGATGAGAGGGATTAGCAGTGTTGGCATGTATAGTCATTTCCTGCACTAAATTAATTTTATTTGGCGACTTACAAGTATTTAGTAAAGAGAATGAGTTGTTATCAAATGATCTTTTATTTTGAATGATTGTGAAGTTATGAGGAATTATTACAATTTTAAAGAAATACTTTATATGTTGAAAAATGCTACAGACACACGAAGTCAAAACCTAAACAATATTGACTAAAAAAGAACAACATAATTTTTAAGGTATTTCTGTAACACAAGAAACTGGCCTTTGATTTAAAGGAAAAGATATAAAACTATGAAATAATGAATAAATGCATACATCATGTATAGAAGAACATTGTTGTTTCAAACTTCCAAAATGACCCTCTGGATGTCAAGTCAGTGAGCATAGCTTTGGTTTTTGTGAGCAATGGTGATGACTCAAGCAATGTAATTTAATAATTCAGTCAATGGGCTCCACGGTCTCTGAGTTCTAGAATAAACCCAGCTTTGAAATTTATAATATATGACCTTTAAATAGTCCCTTGGTGTCTGACTAACTACTTTACTAATGAAAAGTGGAAATAAAAATATGTAGATATAATGCATGTAAAACAATATTTAATCTGACTTTTACAATTCTCAATAATGAGTTATGCTGATTATTATTTTAACAAATTGTCATGTTATTATTTCTAACTCATATCAGTTAGACCCTGTAATAGAATTCATTGGACAAGAGTCTCTTTACAAATGTAGTATCTTTTCTTGCAGTGTTTTGTGTAATTTTTTAGAAAATCTTTTAATCACTTATGATTAAGCTTAAATTAGTATTTCATGAGAGCTAGTTCATCCTGATTTTTATTAACAGCCAACGGCTTTTACTTAATCTAAGCGTATGATTAATTAAAGTTTCACAATTCAAATAATTCATTTTAAGAATCTATCTTTAAAGTCTAGGCTAAATATAAACTATTACTTATAATTATGTCTGTACTGATTTAAAAATCTAAAAGTAACTGTTTCTTCCTGTAATTCTTATAGGATTTTACTTTAAATTGTTTGGTATACACATCCAATTATGCATGTGTGAATGCACTTGAGTTATTCTACACAGGCAAAAATTAGAAGAGTTTAAGAAATCCTCCAACATGGTCATATTTTATTTGTATTTTTTGCCCAGAATTATTTAAATAAACATACCAATGTTCTTTTCGATTCGATTGTATATTAATTGTCCCTAGGTTGCATCACATCCAGCATTGGTAATCTCCCCCTACAGGAGATGGGCTAATAGAGAGACAAGAGAGCAGAGACACATACCTTCTGTAGGCCAGAAAGGTGTGCATCCTTTAGTGGGAGACCAGGTTACTCTTATAAACAAACTATATCTGTGGTCTTCACAGGCTGCACCGTGAAGGCTCAGAGTGAAGCAAGAGTGGAAAAAGTAGATTTCGCACTGATGTGTCACTTAAAGTTTGAACAGGAAATTCTTACACTCGAGTTATTTTGAAGACAGTTTATCTCATCACACATCTTCAGAATATAGGATATTCTGGCTGGTGGTGTATCATTTAGATTGTCCACTGGCATGTGACTCTGAGAAACAGGTGTCTTATTCTAAAAGATATCAGAGGACAAAAGACTTGACCACCCATGCTGTTTATTTGCTTCCATCTCAATCATCAACTCTGAAAACTTAAGCCTTGGCGAGAGCATCTTAGATGTTTAAATTCTACTCTTGGGCAGGGTTGCTAAATTCTGGAATTACATTCTTCTTTTCCTTTTATCCTCATTATGTCTTTCAATTTCAATGAAAAAAGTCTAAAATCATGATTTTATAACAATAGATATTCAATGATATTTGTCACTAATATTTTGAAGAATTACTGTACATTTAGCTTTATGGTAACTTTCATAATGGTCACCAATTTCTAAATTTATCTTCTCAATATTTCTGCCCTAATTCTAATTTTTTATGCATCTTATGATTCTGAAATAAATTATTTAGATTTCACTTGATAAAAATAATGTCTCTTGAAGCATAGTACATTAAGTAGTACTGAACTGTATCACCATGGCAGAGATTGAAATATTACATAACAATTATATTTTGTATTGATTCATCTTAGAATGACAACTAATCGTTGTATTTTAATAGGAATGTTTGTTTTAAAAGACAAAAGCCTCAATCTATGTAGGGGGAAAACAAAAGTAATTAAAAAAGGTTTCTCCTTATCCAAAAGTTCTAAAGGGCAGAAAAAGTAGACTTTGAAAACACAAGTGAAAGACACATGAGCAACAAAAGAAACAGAACCTTACAATGTGATTGTTTGTTTGATTTACGTATATTGTGAAAATATTATCGCCATAGGTTCAGGTAATATTCATCTTCTCATAAGTGAAACAATGAAAAGAAAACAAAGAAGAAAAGAATAAAGAAATAAAAATTTCCTCATGACGAGAACTGATAGCATTTACTCTCTTAACGATTTTACTATATAATAGTTTCCCTTTATCTGCGTTTCCGTATATCCTATAGCACTGTTAGCTATAGTCATTATGTTGTACATTACACCCCTGAGTACTTATTTATCCTATACCTGAACTTTGCACCTTTGTGACCACCTTTCTCCAATTTCCTCCTCCCATCCTATCCCTCACCTTTGGCAACAAAAGTCTGATTTCTTTCTCTATGACTTTGTTATTTTGGCAGTTGTTTTCAGATTTACTCTTGCGATCATAGTGTTGATGACTATAGCTGTATAGTACAGTTTGAAATCAAGAAGTATGATACATCCTGCTTTGTTTTTCTTTCTCAGATTTCCTTGGCTATTCAAGGTCTTTTTTGCGCTTCCATATAAGTTTAGATATTTTTTTTCCCTACTTCTCTAAAATATGCCATTGGACTCTTGATAGGGATTACATTATTGATGGTTTTTAGTAGTATTAGCAACTTAACAATATTAACCCTTCTAACACAGAAATATGGGAAACCTTTCTATTTATTAGTGTCTTCAATTTCTCTCATTAATATTTAGTGGTTTTCAGTATAGAGATCTTTCATCCTCTCAGTTTTCCTAAGTATGTTATTGTTCTTGATACTATTTTTTATGTTTTTCAGAACTTTCGTTGTTAGCATGTAGAAATGCTACTGATTTTGTATGTTAATTTTGTTTCCTGCAACGTTACTCAATTTATTAATTAGATCTTACAATTTTTGGTGGTGTCATTAAGATTTTCTATATGTAAAATCATGTCATCTGCAAATAGAGACAATTTTACTTCTCCCTTTTAAATTCTAATTCTTTTTATTTCTTTTTCTTGCCTGATTGTTTTAGCTGGGAATTCCAATACTATATTAAACAGAAGTTGTGAGAGTGGACCTTTTTGCCTTAATCTTGATGTTAGATGAAAAGCTTCCATCTTTTTACCTTTGAGTATGTTAGCTGTGAACTTGTCATATATGGCCTTTACTATGTTGAGATATGTAGTTTTTTATGCCTCATTTGTTGAGTTCATATCATGGTAAATGTTACATTTCGTCAAATGTTTTTCTGCATTTATTGATATAATCATATATATTTTTTCTTTTATTCTATTAAAGTGAAGTATCACATTGATTAATTTGTATATATTGAACAATCCTTGCATCCCAGGTAAAAATCCCACTTGATCATCATGAATGATCCTTTTAATGTGCTGCTGAATTGGGTTTGATAGCATTTAATTTGAAGTTTCCATCTACATTTATCAGAGATATTGACTTGTAGTTTTCTTTTCTAGTCATGCTTTTCTCTGGTTTTTGTTTCAGAGTAATGCCAGCCTCAAAAAATCAGTTTGGCTGTGGTTACTCGCTTCAGTTTTTGGGGGGAGTTTGAGAAGGGTCCGTGTTAATTCTTTAAATATTTGGTAACATTTTCCAATGAAGCCATATGGTGCGGGGTTTTTCTTTATTGGGAGTTTTTCATTACTGATTTAATTTTCTTGCTAGTAATTAATCTGTTCATATTTTCTATTTCTTCCTGATTAAGTCTTATAGGTTGTACATTTCTAAAATATTTTCATTTCTTTTAAGTTGTCCAGTTTGTTGTCATATAGTTGTTCATAGTAGCCTCTAGTGATCCTTTCAATTTCTTTGGTTTCAGTTGTTGTGTCTTTTGTATTCATAATCGTGTCAATTTGGGTCCTATCTCCTTTTTCCTTAGTTGAACTGAAGGTTTGTGAATTTTGTTATTTTTTTCCAAAGAACCAACTTTTAGTTTGGTTCTTTTGTTTTTCAGTTCTCTATTTCATTTATTTCAGCTCTAATATTTATTATTTTCTAAATTCTGCTAACTTTGGGCTCAGTTTGTTTTTCTTTTTCTAGTTTCTTAAAGCATAGTGGTAGGTCATTTATTTGGAATCTTTCTTGTTTCTTAATGTAACTGCTATTAACTGAATCTAACTAACTAAAGAAAATATTTGAGTCTTCTAAAGATAAAACACTTATTCTAGATGGAAACTTGGATATACATAAAGAAAAGAAGATTTGCAGAAAATAAATTTTGTAGCTATATCTGTCTGG